CATGCCGTAAGCCATGGGCTGCTGCGGTACGTTGCAGCATTAACCAGCATGGGAGCAGCGGCTGAGTAGGGCTGAGGCAGTTAGACAGGCCCCATCTCCTCTTGTACCTTATGCCTGCGAGCATTCGGCGCGAGGAGCATTGTAGGCGAGCAGGCCGAGCAGAGCTGTTCCTACCACGCCGCGCGATGACGCATCCGATGATGGCTCCGATGTTCTGACATCGCGCTGGAGTCGTCGAAGAGCTCGCGCTCGCTGGTGTGGACGCTGGTGAAGAGTCCCCAAGGAGCACGGCAAGCTTGCGCGGGTCTGTCTTCCAAGCAAACATCGTGAGGGTGGCAGATAGGTGAAGCAATGATGAGGAGGAGGAGAGGGAGAGGAGGAGTTCAACTGCAACCATAGCCACATTTCCGTTACAAATATCTTGGTGTAACGGTCAGCACTTGTAGAGTCAGTGATGGGCGACGATGTTGTGATTCACTTTACCAGATGGCGTGTACACCAGCTAGCATTACTGAAACAGCTGCAAAAGCTTGTTACACACCCCTCCCCTTCATCACCCCCACCCCCTTATTTGGTTCTGTTGACCCACCCAAAGTCCAACCTCTTCTGTGGTATCATTCACCCCACCCCCTGGTTCTCCAGGGAATGAGCGTTACGACCCTCTCTTCCGTCTATCACCTCCTTCGCAGCCCCCTACCCCCTCTGCTTAATTTTTCATCCACCCCCACCAGTTCTTTCAGCTATTCCTGAAGCTTTGGACCACCCGTGTCTTTGTACCCCTACCCCCTGTAGCCTACCTATCCGCCGCAATCATCATTATTACTAGGAAGTTCAGACGCTTCCTTCGTTTTAGAGGAGGCCATGGTTGAGGAGGAGGAGGAGGAGGAGGAGGAGGAGGAGGAGGAGGAGGAGGGAGGAAGGAACGGAGAAAGGAAGGAAGGAGAAGAGAGACGGAGGGGAAACCAAGGAAGCGAAAAGAAGGGGTTGGGAAGTGGAAAAGGTTAAAGTTAGCAGTAAATGCTGGTTCTGCAAGATTGGAATGAATAGGAAGACGAGGAGAAGAAGAGAGGAGGAGTGGGGAGCAGGAGGAGGATGAAAGAAGAGTATGAATACACCGTTGTTCTGCTTGGGGTTCTCCTGGATCGAGTGTTATGTAGGGTTTGAGGACAACAAAAGGCAAACGAATAGAAGCTGACATAGAAAAACCGTGCAGGGCATATGAGAAAATGCCAAGAACGATAGATTGTGAAGAATACACAAGGAGTTGATTCTTCCAACATTCTGAGGACATCGAGAATCTGGAATTTGTGATGCTTGCATGATACATCGTTGATCATACCATGATGTTAGGTACCAAGTTGTGAATGCTATCAGGGAGCTGTTCTATCTCCCATCAAAACTCTCTCTCTCTCTCTCTCTCTCTTTCTCGCTCTCGCTCTCCCTTGATCGTTAAAGATCAGCTTCAAACTCCCGAAATCACTAATCGAGACATCTGTTCAAATGTCGAATCAACGAGCAAAAGCTCGCACAGCCATAGAGGAGCCAGACAGCACAGAGCAAGGCATTCAAGACTTGCAAGAGGCTTACTCGCAATCCAACGAGGCGATGGCGTCGCAGGAAATGAAGGATGTGTCCGAGCATGTGAATGAAATCCTTGCAAACAACAATGCTGAGGGCACGAAGGCCGGAGACATCGGTCAGACGATCTTAGATCAGGTCAAGGACAAGACAGGGGTCGACCTGCAGTCTGACGATCTACGCAACAAGGCCGGAGACATCGGTCAGACGATCGTAGATCAGGTCAAGGACAAGACAGGGGTCGACCTGCAGTCTGACGATCTACACAACAAGGCCGGAGACATCGGTCAGACGATCGTAGATCAGGTCAAGGACAAGACAGGGGTCGACCTGCAGTCTGACGATCTACGCAACAAGGCCGGAGACGTCGGTAAGACGATCGTAGATCAGGTCAAGGACAAGACAGGGGTCGACCTGCAGTCTGACGATCTACGCAACAAGGCCGGAGACATCGGTCAGACGATCGTAGATCAGGTCAAGGACAAGACAGGGGTCGACCTGCAGTCTGACGATCTACGCAACAAGGCCGGAGGCATCGGTCAGACGATCGTAGATCAGGTCAAGGACAAGACAGGGGTCGACCTGCAGTCTGACGATCTACGCAACAAGGCCGGAGACGTCGGTCAGACGATCGTAGATCAGGTCAAGGACAAGACAGGGGTCGACCTTCAGTCTGACGATCTACGCAACAAGGCCGGAGACGTCGGTCAGACGATCGTAGATCAGGTCAAGGACAAGACAGGGGTCGACCTTCAGTCGGAGGAAGCGAAGGCGGCAGTCAGCGCGATGGGCGGGGCGGTGGTCTCCCTCGCCGTGGAGGAGCAGCTGAGAAGCTTCTGTCAGAGCTCGGATTGCCAGGAGGTGCAGGAGGCGGTCGGGAGGGAGCTGGTGAAGGTCGCGGGGATGCTGGGTGAAGTTCAGATCCCCTTCAGCCTTGACAGTGTCGTCGGAGCCTTCGGGGTGCTGGGAGACGTCGCGTACGCATGCCCGATGTTGGCACCGGTCGGGCTGATCCTGGTGGGGGGTCTCGAGCGCTTGCAAGCAGGCCAAGTACAACCGAGAGCAGGCGGACTTCATGCGGGAGCGAGTCGATGGCATCTCAGCGACGATGAAGCGACTGAGCGCGAACCTGCAGCAGAAAGGAGCCAAGGACAGCGCGTCTGTGCTGGAGCCTCTGCTGGAGGTTCTCAAGGAGGCGTTCGAGTACATCTCGCGGATCACGAGACGAGGTTTCATGAAGTCGCTCTTCACCTACTCCGCCGACAGAAAGACTCTGCAGCAGCTCGACAAGCAGATCACTGACGCCACCAAAGCCTCCATCTCGCGTCGCCAACGAGCAGGTCGGTAGACGAAACGAATGCTGCTGATGGAGATGATGATGATGATGGTGATGATGATGGTGGTGATGGTGTTGTTGTTGATGATGGAGACGGTGTTGTTGATGATGGTGATGATGATGCTGCTGCTGCTGCTGCTGCTGATGATGATGATGATGATGATGATGATTCGAAGGGCTTCGATTGATGAGCGTGTGTTTGCAGTTGGAGCTCAGCCTGCAGATGGACGAGAAGCTTGTGCGAATGATGGCGATGCTGGAGAAAGGAGTCCCAGCAGGTTGCAAGGAGCCAGCGCAGATAGATGCGAAAGTGCTGGTGGAGATTGCAGAGCGATCAGGATGTAAGATGGCGAGTGAGATGAAGGAAGAGATCGAATCGATGAGCGAGGCGATGATGAGTAAGCTTCTTGTCTTGTCTTGCCATGTCTGCTCACCATCGCATTCTTAGAGCACATGGAGCAAGTCACCGCAGCGGTCAGTGCGATCCAGGACAAGCTGCACGACATGGACAGGAAGAGCGACGTACATCACGAAGAAGACATGCTTGCTCACCAGAAGACCCAGTACATGATCGCTGAGGGCAACGTGGAGTCCAAGAAAGCAGCAGCGCAGACGCTGCAGGCCGTCATGTCGATAGCGGCGAGGAGCGGAGGGGTTCAGCCCAAGTGGAGCTCGAAGCGAGAGGCTGAGCTGCTCACCAAGGAAGCGACTCACTACATCGACTGCACGTCCGACGTCGCCATCCTCACCCTCCACCAGGATGGGATCGGGATGGACGAGCGACAGCTGCAGAGCGAGTTCAAGCGGATGGACACAAACAGGAACGGATACCTGAGCATCCTGGAGCTGAAGGCGGGTCTACGACGCTGCAAGAACATGAGCGTGGAGGAGGTAGAAGACCTGTTCTTGGCCTATGACTTCAACCAAGACGGCAACATCTCTCTCTCTGAGTTCATCTCCTTGAAACGTCCCAACCTCGAGGGCCAGCAGGGCCAGCAGGGGGAGGACGGGGAGAACTTTGCGGGCACGTGCGGTCAGATGGGAGAGCCGACCAGGAACGGCGAGCCAGGGCAGGACGGAGGAGACGGGCAGAGCGGACTGGACGGGGCGAACGGGCTGGACCTGATGGACTTCGAGGTGATGCTGGAGTTTGTGAGGGAGGACCTGGAGGCCCGAACGCGCACGTACCGTATCGAGCACTCCGGACCCAAGGGGAAGGTGATGAAGGAGGTGGAGCTGCCGTACCCCGAGGGCATCCTGTATGTCAACGCTAGAGGAGGGAGCGGAGGACAGGGAGGGAGGGGAGGCAGCGGAGGCGACGGAGGTAACGGAGGAGACGGAGGGCGAGGAGAGCAGAGTACGAGTGGAGGGGACGGAGGAGACGGAGGGGACGGAGGAAATCCAGGGAGGGGAGGATGCGGCGGGAACGGAGGAAACTCGTCGAGGGTGAAGATCAACACCAACGATCCTGCGCTGCTGATGCTGGTCAAGGTGGATGTGTCGGGAGGCGCTCCGGGGCAGGAGGGGAGGCATGGGAACCCAGGAAGAGGAGGGAGGGGCGGGAGGGGAGGAGAGGGAAGCGTATACTATGAATCGGGTTCGACAGGACAGGGAAGCTTGTCCATCACGATGCACTCGAGCAAGGGCAAGGACGGGAGGCCGGGCAAGAACGGGAAGCCAGTGCGGGACCGGACGGGGAAGTACACCGGGCTGTCGGGGAGAGCAGGCCAGTGCTCCTACTGCATCTACAACGAGCTGGGGTTGAGCGAGACGAGCGGGTATCCTTACAGGCTCTGCTTCGACAACAAGCAGATCGCCAAGCTCCGGCCTGTCCCCTACACCTACCGCTCGCTGTGCCCTGACGACGACTTCCTGGTGTACGGGGAGGCGGTCAGGTACGGCCCCTGCTCGCCCATCAACGTGGGCGGGCTTGCATGCCCGCCATGCACCCTGCAGGGGCAGCTGTTGATAGCTGGGGAGGCAGTGGGAGAAGGGGAGACGAAGTTTCCGGCCATCGAGGCATCGGTGGGGACCAAGTACGGGAGCACAAGCGCGAGCTTTCACGTGGACGTGACCGTCTCGAAGCTTATCCGAAGAATGCTGGCGCTGCCGCCTCCGACCGAGTACCCCTGGTGACTCCTCCTGTCCCTCCTGTCCCTCCTCCTCCCTCCCCTCCCTCCATCTCCCTCCTCCTCCATCCTCCTCCCTTCTCTCCCTCCATCTCCCTCCTCGTCCCTCCTCCTCCCTCCTCTCCCTCCTCTCACCTCCTCTCTAACCGCCTTCTCCTCCCTCCGCTCCCTCCTCGTCCTCCTCTCCCTCCTCTCTTCCTCTCTCGCTTGTCTGTGCCCTTCTCACATGCAGCTCAGGCCATGGCAGTGGAGCAAGCTTCCGAGGCGGGAAGGAGTCCTGCAGCTGCGGTGGGCGGTGGAGTCGCTTCCGTTCCTGAGGATCCAGGAGGACGCGGAGAACAATCTCAACGTGGACAAGAAGTATCCTGTCGCCTTCGACGTACCTCTGAGGATCCGGCAGAACGAGCTCAAGGCTGGCATCTCCGGCCCCGTGGTGATCGAGGCCGAGGGGAGCAACGGCTTTTCTCTCGAGCTCGAGAACAAGTTGTCGTCCTGTGCTGTAGACGCAGACACGTTCGAGCTCGTCCTACGAGTCGCTGCCAACGGCCTCAACACCGTCATCGAGACGGACGACCTGGCGGTGACGGAGGTGGAGGAGGAGAAGGAGGGGGCCGTGATAGTCAAGCTGTTCCGCTACAGCCTTCCTCGCATGGAGAAGCAGAGCCGTCTCCAGCTCGCCTTCAAGCTTTGCTTCCCCGACGCTCCTTCTCCCGGCCAGTGGGTCTGCGTGCGGCCGGAGCTCTGCTGGGAGGGCAGCATCGTCGAGCACGCGCTCCCGCACCAGATGCGCGTCAGCCCGTCGCTGCCGCCGGAGAGAGGAAGCGTCAAGGACGTGGTGTTCTTTGCAGGGAGAGAGATCACAGCCGAAGACTTCCTCCTCCTCGCTCGCCTCTGCGACCTCCTCGGCCGACGAGCTTACTTCGTCGACTGCGAGCACTACGGGGACGAGCTGGGCTTCGTCCCAGCTGAGAAGCTGCAGGGGGAGATGGGGCTGGCGACGATGGTGTGGGGGCACGAGGTTCAAGCGGGGGCGAAGAGGAAGTTTGTGGAGCTGTTCCAGCAGCACGTGGAGCAGGGAGGAGCGCTGGTGCTGGCGAGAGGAAGCGAGTACCCCGAGGTCAGAGACTACAGCGTGAAGAGCAGGAGAGTAGTGGACCTCTCCTCTCTCCTCTCCTTCAACCGCATCCCTCCCGGCGAGTTCATCCGGGACGGCACAATCGTCGGGCCCAACCTCACCATGCTCGTGCTCGCCCTGCTGCAGACGCTCAAGACACAGGACAAGCTGTCGATGCTGCGGTCCAAGGACGCTCTGCTCGACCTCAAGGTCTCCGAGGAGAGGGTCAACGAGTACCGCAGCGTCACCCCAGCCCCAGGCTTCTGCAGCTGCTTCTTCCCTCCCAAGCCCTTCCTCCAGGTCGCCCGCGCGCAGGCGCCGCTTACGGTCAGAGACGTGCTGCTGGCGTCTGTGGTGCTGGAGTGCAGGACGGAGCTCTCCCAGGGCCTCTCCCACCTCAGCGGCCACGCGCTGCAGCTGGTGGACGCGGAGAGGGCGAGCAACCTCGAGCTCGCGAAGAGCTTGATGTCGGCAGCTGGGCTCTTCGCCCTGAGGGACCCCCAGCTGGCGGGGGAGCTGAAGAAGCTCTATGGGAAGCACGTGCCCCAGCTGCTGCCGACGGCTGCTCGCTTGCTGGAGATCCAGCTGGTTAGCCGGCTGTTCACACCGAAGCACGCTCCTGCTCCAGTGATGGGAGGGCAGGGGATGAAGGAGGTGCTGAGCTCGGGGACAGCTGGGCGAGGGTCGAAGAACCGGATCTTTCCCTCGCAGGAGGGGTAGGGGGAGCGAGGAGGAGCAAGAGAGCTGTTAAGATGAATGTAATAAGAGACTATGAAACTAATCGTGACAGTTTGTAACATTATGTGATCAGTTGAGATGATAACAACTCTATCAGAAGAGCTCGTAACATGACTACTCATGATATAAGCTCAATTCATATATCAAGAGAAGAGATTATTAAACGATCTGATCCAGTTCGTTTAATGACTGAAATGGAACAAACTGGAGCAAACAAAGAAGGAAAGGATAAACCTTACAAATCCGCCTCAACAGAATCCTTGGAAAAGGAGGAGGCAGCAAAAATCGGCATGCACGAGGAGGACGGCGAGACCCATGCGAGAGCGAAACTGCCGAAACAGGCGAGCACGCAAACGATGAAAGCCAGACGGTCCCCATGTTCGGAGCCGGGGGGGGCGGCCCGGCCGGGCCTCGGGCAGGTCAGTGACCTCTGAGTGGTGCCGTTGGCTGATAAAATCTATACTGATCGGGCAGGCGGGCTCGGCAACAAACTTCACTCAATTACATAGTCATAGCAAGGCCCCAGCTGCTGCCACAGGCTTAATTGCTGGGAGGATTTTGACTTGAGTACCCAAGGTCAGATGATTCATAAGTGTGGATTTAAGTGATTGTACCGAAGTAGCGACCAAGGCACTGCCTGATGCTGGGGGCCGTGGGGGATCAAAAGATCGTTCAGGGTTGGGTGGGGGGTTGACACGAAACGGGATTTGCATGCTGAGCATGGCGAGGACAGGAAGGCAGGAGGAGGAGGGAGGGGTTAGAGGCCCAAGGCATGTCAGACGTGCGTCCCACAAGTATCAAGCTGTTGTATCAAGCTTGAACCTCCAGCTCCTCTTTCAGCTGCTGCTTGCTGCCTGCTGCTTGCCTCCTTGCTTCTCAGCCAAAACCCCTCCATGGATCGACCTAGGGCCGGGTTTCAAGCGAAACGCGAAGTTTTCAGGTTATTACTTCGGCATGGCATGCATGAATCGCACAATATTCAGTGAGTCCATCGCATGTCTGTTAGAGTTCATCTAGGATGATCTGCAACTGCCCAGGTTTGGATTCAAACGCAGCATTTCAATTCTTTGATACTTCAAGCAAGTCTTGGATTGACATCTCAGGTAAGATTGATGGTGCAAGCCCAAGATCTGGATATCAGTATGTCATGGCAAGTAGTGCAAGTTCACTTTACGTCATAGGCTTGTACGGTACGCTCTTCTTCCCTTGTTTCGTAAGTGATGTAATTCGAAACCTACAGATATCACATGGTCACAGACAAACTCTATTGAACTTTTTGAGCTCAACTTCTTGACGATGATGTGGACGAACTACACTGCAGATATGAAAGGAACAGTGCCTGGTGGCATGCAAGGCGGTAGGTATGTCGAATTCTTCCAAGTCTGTGAAAGAAAGATCTTGGCTGCTTCATACTCTACTATGATGGCGTTTGACTTCGATACTATGATATGGGAGGACATCTCGGGAGGGGTTGAAAGCATCTTATTACGCTTAAGGAATCAATATCTATCATCTTATCAAATCAAAAGACTGTGGTCGTTCCAAGGCGATTTCTACTGTTCGGTCTCGGTTCAAGATTCATCCTATCTTCTGATCAATCGTAACTGTGGAGAATCTGGATGGGAGGAGTACCTGACAGTTGCCGACACGTACACTGATCTGCATGATGTTATCTTCACTGGTTCGCCGTCAGATGTCTGATCTCCAAGAGGCTGATACGCTTGACAGGTGTGGTGAAATTCGATGCAAGCTACAACGAGACCGATCAACTCATACTGTCTGAGTTGAAACCAACAACCATAGATCAATACGTCATTGATGCATGCGACGACGGCAACATTTATGTCTATGACATACAGAGCTCAGGTTCAATAACTGAGATGTGCACGGTTGGATTTGACGAAAGCTTGCAGATATGTATGTGATCCGCGAAAGAGTCAAGGATGTTGTGAAGTGGACCAACGCTGCAACTGCAGCTGCTAATCTCAGAACCAGCATCGTGCATCTAGTTGCTTGGGATAGATTTGTTGCATCATATGATTCGGGAGATCGTATGTGTAGTCCAGGATATGATTGTAAGACTGATTGCTTTGAAAGGCTCCATCAACGTCTTCGACACCGCAAGCTTGATATGGTCCCCGATCCACCCGGAAGGATTGAGCATAAGCAATCTGTTCTCATGGAAAGGCGACTTGTTTGGTTTAACCGAAAATTTGACAGTGTACAAATACAATGGCGCTGGCAGAAATTGGAGTGAACACTTACCAAACAAAAGAACAGAAGTAGATTTACACTTGATGGAAGCATCTGCATACTGGTTATGGAGTGCAATCAGAGGCTGCGCAACTTCAACAACAGAGAATCTACATGTCATACATTTCTCTTTGCCTCCATATAGTAATGCCCTTTCCTTACGATTTGTGTGCTCAGAGGTTGATATATTTTTACCGCGCAGGTGTGTTGTATAGAACTACTTTGACCCAGGAAGATGTTGAAAATTCCGGTGTGTTTGCTTATAACCTTTCCACGGGAGAATGGAAGAAGTACGATTCCTCGATAGGAACTCCTGTAAAGTACTGGCATTCCATCGCTGCAACGGACAAATATATGTATCACTTTGGAGGACACAACATAGAACTTGGTCTTGCATACGATTACTGTAAGAAACATCAATCGATGATCTAGGATGTCTTTCGCTCACAGAGTTTGCAGTTGAGAGTCACGTGATGGACAATTGGTTGTACCGCTTCGATCTCGAGGAACGAACGTGGAGTATCTTGTCAAAGACGCAAGAGAATGCTCCCAGCCCGAGACTCTCTCCAGCAATGATGGTTGAAAACTCTAGAGTGTTTGTGTATGGAGGAGTCACCAGTCTGTTTATGGGCCTGTTCTTCGACGACCTCTATAGCTTCGATACCGAGACTTCGACCTGGACCATGTGGTTTGAAGCCGACGATCGTCCAGTCGCCTTGACGTTTGTCGGACAAGTCTTGTCGGCTGACATGTACAAGATCTTCGCCATGTACTCGGTTTCGGACGTGAAAACCCTCACCTCTCGAGAGCTTCCGAAAGAAAGAGAATCGTCAGGGTTATTCATGCAGGACCTTCTCACCTCATACGACTGGAACACCCTCGTCGTCCCTCCTTGTTCGGCTCCTTCCGACTGCCTCAGCATGCGAAGCTCTGTAGACCTGTGCTCCCGTGCGTGGATGCCTTGCCAGCTTCACCTCAAAGCTTCCGCATCTCCTCCAGCACAACCTGCTGCTCTCATGCTGGTGGGCGACGCTCATGTCTTCTGCGACGCGAGGGCAGGATGTACAGGCATCACATTAGAAGGAGTTAACCTCATGTGCACAGGCTCCCGCAAAGGAACCGATGCAGCTCTGCGCATGGTCGGGGTTGGAGCTCATCTAGAGCTGACGAGAAGCTTGATAGAGGGATGCTCCAACCAAGACGATGGTGGAAGCATTCAGCTCTACGGAGGCTCCACGGGCTCGCTTACACGCATACGTTTCTTGCAATCCTCAAGCGCTGGAAGGGGAGGAGCGATCATGCTGCAGGGATCCACCATGAGCATCATCGGCTGCACCTTTGAAGACTGCAGATCCACAGATGGTGGAGGAGCTCTCTTTCTCAGGTCAGGAGCTTTCCCAGCTCCTCTCTTTCTCAACTCCTCTCCTTCTCAGGTCTGTTTCTCAGGTCCCAGCCGGTCGACTACTTCCCAACTGTTATGTCTCGGCCAGTTCTGCTGGTCGACTCATCGCAATTCTTGTCAAACTCGGCAGGACATGGTGGAGCTTTGTTCTGCGAGAACGGCTCGTTTGTGACGATCAGGAGAAGTCTCTTCGTCAACAACATTGTCGCAAGGGATGGCGGCGCTTTGTACTTGCAGACAACCAATGCGCGTCTGGAAGACAATGAGTACCTGCAGAACGAGGCTGGAGGAGGAGGAGGAGGAGCCATCTTCTGGGAAGAGCAGGAGCCCGTGTTGTTGGTTGAGAACGAAGTGGAAGAATCTATCCTTGCATGCGGAAGACAGCCTCATGGAAACACTGCCAAGTATGGACATTGTGTTGCCTCGAGCTTTCATCGACTGCAGCTCGATGCCCTCGACCATTTCTTATATCCTGGCCTACCCTTTTCAGTGAAGGTGACTAAGTTTGACTTCTATGGTCAGCAGATGACGACAGACTCTCTGACGACACTCCAAGCTCGAACTTTGAAGCTTTCAAGCAGCAGTGGCGAGGCTGTTGTCGTCGGAGCCAACACGATGACTCTGATAGAAGGGACAGCTGTCGCGGATATCTCTCTGAAGCTCAACTTTGTCCAAGCTGAAGGCTCCGTTCCAGCTCAGCCACAAGGGGCTCCAGCCCTGGAGGTGTTTGGGTTGGACTCATTCTCTGACCTCGCGATTCGCTCCAACCCTCTGCAAGTCAAAGTCTCGCCGACAATCTGTCCTGTCGGGTATGTCCTCAAGACTGACGGCCCCAAGTTTCCTACCCTAGCAGTCTGCGACAAGTGCTCTCCCGACTCCTACGCCCTGCAGGCCTTCACGGGGACCAACAGCAGCGATCTCGCCTGTCTTCGTTGTCCGCATGGGATACGATGCGACGGGGGGGACGCGATCGCGAATCAAGCCGGCTTCTGGTTCAACCGCAGCATCCTCACACATCCTGGCGGAAAGACTTTTCTAAGAAGCCATCGATGCGCTGAGGGCTGCTGCTTGTCTGATTTCACGTGCAAGGGAGGGCAGGAGGGTCGGGTGAGAAAAAACTCCTCAGACTGATCGACGTGTTGATGGTTGAGTTGTTGTTGATGATGATAACGATGATGATGATGACATAATCATTCAGGGGTTGATGATTGACCTTGATCTGCCTTGCAGCTCTGCGCTATTTGCATCACAACGAGCAAAGACGAAGACTACTTCTGGGCCTTGTCAAGTCGCGATTGCAAGAAATGCAAAAAGAACATGTCAGGAGTCAGAATTTTTATCTTAGTGTTGGGTCTTCTTATCTTCATAGTGTTCTGGTACTTTCTCCTCAAAGTTGATCCACAGTGCTGAGGGAGAGCAGGACAAGCTTCTTCTTGCTTCCCCTCTTCCGACATCTCAACATCGCCCAGGCTCTCACTGAGGAGGTCGAAAAGTTGACGAGGAAGCTCTCGAGTCGGATCGAGGAGAGAACGGCACTGAAGAACATTCAAGAGTCGCTTAGCAAGCATCGTTCAAAGATTGGATACCTCAAGATATTGATTGGTAATCCTAACTTTGACTCTCTGCTCTTAATTTCATTCCTACCATCTCATTCTATCTGATAGGCTTTGCGCAAGTCTCTTCGAGTCTTGTCTCGATCTACAACATCCAGTGGCCTGATTTGATAGCTCGCCTGCTGTCAAACATTGCATTCGTCAGCTTAGACTTTATCTCCTTGCCTCAGATTTCTTGCGCGGCCTCGGAATTATCCTTCGAGGACAAACTGCTTCTATACACGCTCGCACCGTTCGCTCCTATCCTTCTTCTTTTCCTTCCATATGCCATCACAGTGCTCTATAACAGGCTGAGATCGATAACTGTCTCCGAGATTCTGCTCTACAAGTTCATGTTTTGGAGTTTGTAGGAACCTCATTCATCACGAGAGTTTCTCACATTTCAACGCTCGCAGGTTTTTTGTCTACGTCGTCTACATCCCCGTCTCATCGATGGTATTGAGTACCTTCCTCTGCCAAGACCTCGAGGACGACGGTAACTGGCTCGTCAGAGACTTTCGAGTGCCTTGTCCTCGATCATCGGGGAGCTTCGCGTATGGCTGGGCGATATTCACGACCTGCGTCTACCCCGCCGGATTTCCTCTCCTCATCCTCCTCATCCTGTACCAGCTCAAAGTGCCGCAGCTGGCTCGAGCAAAGCAGGAGTTTGCCTTCTTCGAGACCCTAGGAAAGATGCAGGTAATGGAGGGATCCAAGAATCAGTGGCAAGGGAAGGAGAGCGAATGGAGGAGGAAGTGGGACGTATCAGTCTTCGATCAGCTGGACATGTCTGACTTGTTGTATCTCAAAAAGCTGCTTCAAAGGATCCTTGAAGATATGATCGGCTTTCATTCATGGACCGTCATGCAGAATCTGGAAGAAGCGGCAGGGGAAGGTGCCTTCGAACTTGGAGTACAAGCTATAGAAAGTGCTGAGGAAATTATGAAGCCTGAAGAGATGGAGAGAGAGAAGGAGAGAGAAGAGAGGGAGAGGGAGAGGGAGAGGGAGGACGAACAGTTCAAGCAAACTCGATCTCATGACTTACAAGCCCTCGATGTTGGAAGTGCGAATGAAAGCAACGCTGCGATGCAATACCGGACGACTCCCAAGTCAAGCACGTCAAGCACGCTTCGAGAGGACGCAAAGAAGAAGGGGGACAATTCCCTTGCAGATGCTCAGGAGGAGAAGGAGGCGATCAAGCGTAAGGAGCAGGAGAAGTTGATGCTGGAGCAATCAGAGATGGAGAGACGAGACTACGTCCGGTTCTTGTACGGAGAGGTCTTGAAGCACGAGCTGATCCAGCTACCAAAGCTTCAATGGTCAAACAACTTCCTCACAAACGACAAGAAGTCACAGATGCTTGAGCAGGAGCACGATGAGAATAACAAGATGAAGGAGAAGGATGACTTCGAGCAGCAGGAAGAGCGCGCCCTTCACATTGCTGGTTTTCTCTTCTCGATGTATGAAGTGAAGTTCTGGTGGTTCGAGGTGTTCGAGCTGTTGAGACGTCTTCTCACGTGCATCATCATCAGCTTCTTCTTCACCGGCACAATCTTCCAGGTCGTCGTCGGCCTCATGCTCTTGTTCTTGTCCCTGGCTGCTCACAGCAGCCTCAAACCCTTCCAAGACATCTCGCAAGACAACATGATGTTCTACGCTCTCGTCGCTAACTTTGCGACGCTGCTCTGTAAGTTCCCGTTGCGTTTGAGTTGACTGGTTGACTCGCTAGTTGACTTGATGGCAGATGGGATCAGCTTGAGGCTGATGGCTGTAGAGGAGCTGCGGATCGATTCCACCTCCTACGAGCTTGACCTCGCTCAGGCAGCTCTTGTCACTGCCAACATCTTCGTCGTTGTCTTCCCTGTCGTTCAGACGCTACTCGACATTTACGGCGCGGCTATGGTGCAATGGTCAGGGCGCCTGAAGCAGCTGATGAAGCAGCAGCTCTCCAGAGCTGGCACTAACATGGCGGCAGCTCTGAGCACGTTGCTGTCTCGCTTTCAGATCTCCATGGCGAAATCACGGGAGGACTCTCCGAGTGCCGCATGAGGGGAGGAAGGAAGTGAGAGGAGGGAGCCATGGCAGGGAGGGAGGCAGGGAGGGCAGGACGGAGGCAGAGGGTTTGTAACTCAGTACATGAAGCTCAATCATTGACGTGCTTTCAAACTCTTTATTGACTGAAAAGGGAAAGGCAAACCGGAGCAAACAAGGAGGAAAAGGAGAAACCCTACAAATCCGCCTCAAGAAGAAAACCAGGAAACGGAGGAGGCAGCAAAACCGCTACTCCAACCACGCAAGCGACGGCACGCACGACAAGCAGGGGAACAAGGATCAGGACAAACAGCAGTAGCGCAAGGCTTTTGCGAGGATGACGGCAAGACCCATGCGAGAGCGATACTGCCGAAACAGACGAGCACGCAAACGATGAAAGCCAGGGTCCCCATACACCGCCTCCTGAGCGCATCCATCCCACTCCGCTGTCAACGTAGCTCCATGGTGATCCGCAAGGTACCAGAGAAACCGCAAAGCGTCAGCATGAAGAAGACCATCTGTACCTGCAGTGAAGGGAAGAAAGGCCTTCGGCGGGTGATGGGTGCCATAACTTGCGCGATGATCCGAAATCTTCTGTTGGGCGGGGCCGGAGAGCGCAGAAAGTCCGACGGGGCTGCCGCTGCTGTTGTAGGGATGAGTCATCGTGAAGTCCAGAACCAGCCCATTCCAGGTGTGGGTGTGCTGAGGGACGTGGGTCCGGGTTTGTCGCAGACCCTGCTGATGAAGCTTGGTGACAATGCCCGATGTCGCGCAGAACCACAGTACACTGCTCATGTGCGGTGGTCCAGAGACCTGCGCGATGACGACAATTGGCCAAATGAGAGACACTGCTTCCCGCCGAGGGGTCGAGAGCTGTAGCACAACGATCACAGGTGGGAGGCAGCCGAGCCGGAGGGAGGCCATGGAGGAAGCGATCGACCCCTCGTGCGAGGTGGATGGGACTCTGGTGGGAAGGGTGAATGTTCGTGGCCTCCATCAGAGAGTATTGCAATCGCCGCTGAGGGTTCTGAGTCTTGCGAAGGAGGGGCTCCAGGGGGAACGGGGTAGAAGACTGACTCGCTGACTCGGGGGGATAGAGCTCCACAGTATAGCTGCCATGAGCCCGGAGGAGAGCTGCCTGCACCTGAGACAATTGCGCCCGCCGCTCAAGATGAGGGGGAAAAGTCTGCATCAACCGTCCAGTAACTGAGCGCTGGGGGGGGAGAAAAGGAGGTCCGCCCGCGATCTGAAAGAGCGCTGGAGATGGGATCGAATAGTGCAAACGTGCGTCCTCCAGGTCGCTGGGGTCCAGGTATTGCGGCACTCCACGGTCAAGCAGGGCCTGATGCACCCGCAGGAAGGAGGCGAGTAGGGGAGGGAGGACCAGATCGGGCTCGTCCGCTTGACGGAGGGTACCATCGAGGCGAGAGAACAGCGGAGGGGTCGAGAATGTCCAGGTCTGCACACAGGGTAAAGTAGCGCTCCGTTGTAAGGGAGACGAGGCTCATAACATGATCATACCTCTCGTTCAAGACTCCGAATGTCCGTTACTCGATTTTGTAACGAATTAACGGTCCAAAGGGAATTCAGCATACACAGGAGCGACATGGAAGGAGGAGGAGGAGGAGGAGGAGTTGTAAGAGATTCATCCCTTTGCCGATAGATAGTCGGTCGTAGCAAGAGAGTCACAGCGAAGAAAAGGAGAGGAGGAGAGGAGGAGGAGGAGGAGAGGAGGAGAGGAGGATAGGGGAGGATGCTGGTGTGCAGCACACCAGTGTACAAGAAAGTGATTGAGGAGTACAAACATCCGCACACACAGCAAGACAAGAGTGAAATTGCAGCTCGTCGAAGCCAGCAGCAGCCCAGATCAAGATCAACGTCCCCCATAAAGACTAAGAAAGATGACTTCTACAGCTATCTTGCTGGTCAGGTAGAAAACGCCCTGTCCCCCTGCTCCTGCTCCTGCTCCTGCTCCTGCTCCTCAGGGTGATCCTCCACATCCTCCTCCGCTGCTGCCACCACCACCACCTCCTCCCCCTCCCCCTCTTCCTCTTTCCTCACAATCTGATGCTTCTGGCGCAGCCCTCGGTTTATGGTTCACCTGACTGGCACAACAAGTGGGGCGATGAGAGGTGACGGCAATTTGAAGTCTATGTTGTGCTAAAATATCCTTCTTTCTCTCCTCCCCCCTCTCTCCTCTCTCCTCTCTCCCCTCTCCTCTCTTTCTCCTTCTCTCCCCTCCTCTCCCCTCTTTCCTTCTCCTTCTCTCCTCTCTTCACTTTCTCTCCTCTCTCCTCTCTCCTCTCTCCTCTCTTTCTCCTTCTCTCCTCTCTCCTGCTTCTGCTCCTTCTCCATTCAGCCTCCTCCCCACGTTACAGGACGACCACAAATCGCATGTACTCCTCCCTTCCATCAGAGATCAAGGCAGCAGGTTTGCGTCTCCTGCTGCTGCTGCTGCTGCTGCTGCTGCTTCTCCTCCTCTTCCTCCTTGTACTCACTTACCGTCAGCGATCCGAAGAAAAGGAGAGGTCAACCAGCGTCAACCTTGCGCAAAGTGAGTCCAAAGTCCCTCCCTCCCTCCCTCCCTCCCT